TGGTGATGTTGCGTCACCCCTACTGGCGTGGCAGGGGCTGGCTGGGGGGGAAGGGGAGGGGGCTGAGGTCTGGGAGGGGAAGCTATTCTTTTAACAGTCTTTTCTGTTGGTCTCTCTGGTTCTGCTAGACCTTTTATCTTTAAATTTTCAGCTGTACTTATCAGAGAAGCTAGTTCAGACTGTGATACACTCACCTGGAAAAGAGAGTGAGGTCTATAAGATGATTCCAATCTGATTTAGCTTCTTCCCCACACTTCTCTTTATTTTAGATATTAGTGCTGTGGTTACTACTTGGATTCTCATGTTTCTTAAAATAACCTTACACAATATGACATAACTGTTACCATATCAAAACTATACTTTCACAAATAATAACAAAAAGATACATATCATTCCACAGTACACAGAATCAGTAAGATGAAACTGAAAAACTTGAAGACACCCATTACTCACTTCTCCTTTATAAATAAATTCTATAAGAGCCTCCAGCTCCTGTCCCTTGACATCCTTGAGGAACACAATAGGGTGCTTGCAAGGGTTAGTCTGAAAGAGTGTCTGCAACAAAGATGGAAAATAATAGATGTACTGACACTGTTATATACTACTGTCTGTCCAATTCCAGGGAAGGAAAGACCGGGACCTAATTTCAGGTTCTGACATCCTACAATATGTCAAGTCACTTTTGAAAAAAGATAATAACATGGAGTAAGGAGACAAATTCTGACAAAAAGTAATAATATTATTGTATACATGTTTTTAAGATAAAAAAATATGTAAGCACAAATATCGAGAGTCAGGTAATTAGAATGAAATAGCTATTTGTCAAAATAGTGTACTTGAGGGATAGGGGGAGTTGCCTGCTTAGCTTCCCGAAGAATGGACATATTAGCCAGTTAGTTAAAATTGTGGGAAGCCGGACACAATAAATATTCATATATATGGACATATATATACACAGAAAGAAATGCATATCGGTCTATCAATCTGACAAATATACTTTTATCTATCTATCTATCTATCTATCTATCGGGTAGATATGCATGTCTAGACTGATAGATATGCCTTTATTTTTGTGTAAATGTATGTCCCTACATATAAATCTTCACTGGGTCAGGCCTCGCACAATTTTAACAAACCAGCTGATAGTATACATTGTACTTCCTACAGCTGTGGTTTCCAAACTTTGATTAACTGTAATCTTCTTATAGCCTTGGATCACTAATAGCAAACACCTTCAACTATCATTTCTGTCTTGACTTATAAAAGAATGTGATGTAAATTGAAGTTAATAACTGAAGTTAATAATCTTAAACTTCAACATGATCCTAAAACTGATAAACATATATCCCCATCAAACATAAGTGAAGCAATAGCTAAATATTAACAGTAAGTTATGCGTCTCTTAATAATCCTAACCTAACCATAAAGCCTAACCCTAATTTGGGAACCTCTGTTCTAGGGGTTCTCCTATTATGTAATAACGACTCCACTTTAAATCGAGAAACTCATCTGTCAGAAAGGCTTGGACTATTCTTTTAGAAAGCACTTTGTTTTTTCCAATACTTCTTTTTAACAATCAAATCTTACATTCTCATCTACACATATGTAAAAGTCATATGATCAAGATATTAACAAAGAGGAAGTAAAAGAAGGAGGAGGAGGAGGAGGAGGAGGAGGAGGAGGAGGAGGAGGAGGAGGAGGAGGAGAGGAGGAGGAGGAGGAGGAGGAGGAGGAGGAGGAGGAGGAAGAAGAAGAAGAGGAGGAAGAGGAGGAGAGGGGAACTTGAACAAGAAATGGAAGAAGTACAGGAACAGAAGGAGACAGGAGAACAGCAGAGGAAGTAGAGTTCAAAAACAATGGAGAAAATGAAAATGGAGAGGAAAATGTAAAAATGTAAAAACAGAAAAGAAGAAATGGAAAGAGAAAGAGATAATATATACATATATATATAAATATAAAAAATAAAGACAATAAAGAAAAAAATGAGTTTCCTCTTTGATACTCGTGTCTATTCCACCAAATGGTTAACCCTAAATGTGTACCTTCCCTTCTTGTGGCTTCTATGCAAGGTAATGTCACAGATGCCTGACACCTTCCAAAAGATTGTTACTTAATATCTAATCTGTAGAAAGTACATTAATTAATGGAAGCAAAAGCAAAAAGATGGAACATATGAACAGATCTCAATAAAAAATACAGTTGTAATGTGGAAAAAAAAAAAAAAAAAAAAATGTAGAAGGGAAAAATATGAATGTACCAATAAATGAATGAAATACAAAATCTCAGTCGGAAGATATGAGGAGGAGGAGGAGGAGGAGGAGGAGGAGGAGGAGGAGGAGGAGGAGGAGGAGGAGGAAGAGGAGGAAGAAGGAAGGAGGAGGAAGAGGAGGAGGGAGGAGGAGGAGGAGGAGGAGGAGAGGAGGAGGAGGAGGAGGAGGAGGAGGAGGAGGAGGAGGAGGAGGAGGAGGAGGAGGAGGAGGAGGAGGAGGAGGAGGAGGAGGAGGAGGAGGAGAGGAGGAGGAGGAAGAGAGGAGGAATGGAGGAATAAGAAGTGGGAAAGGAGAAATGGAGAAAAAGAAGAAAAAGACAATATAAAGAAAAACAGGTAATCAAGTCCGTGAAAAAAATCCGAATCAATTTCTATGTAACCCTGAGCTTACCTGGAAATATGGCGAACACGCAGAGAGGACAACCTTGTGAGCTGAAAATGTCTTCCCGTCGCAGGCAAGGGTAACGTCGACAAAAGCATCCTGATAAAAGGAGTCATTAAGACTGAACGTAATTAAATGCTAGAGTAAGTACATAAAAGGAAAAACAAATTCAAGTTAAATGAAAATAACACATAACTGACTCATAACTAAATGTATTACATTTAAGAAAAATAATACATTTCCACCAAGAAGTGAATCAACTGAATTTTTGAAAGCAATATAAATTACACCAACTTCTACTAATGTTTGGTAGTTCGGTAATTAGTCCCCCCATCCTGGCTCACCTGCGTACGTAAAAAGCTAAACACTTCGACAAAATTATTCTGGTGGTTGTTCCACTTCAGCAGAAACTGGTCTTGGTTCATCCTGCCCAAACCCTGAAAATGGAGTCCAGATTTACATAAATATGCACTTTGTTTAATATATCAAGTCACCTTTGTATCATCAGTATATCGGCTGAACTTAAGGTAGTAAAAAACAAAAAAAAATCATCCTTGTTTTTCTAAAATCGCTATGAGAAGAGGTGATCTAAACTGACTTAAAAACCAGGTGTTAAGCCCATTAGTATATTCTATGTACTTCAAGAAAGCACAACTGTATCAGGTACAGTACTTCAGAAAGCCCGACTATATTACATATAAATTGAACAGGTGTATTATGCACTAAAGAAACCCAAATAATCTTATGAACTTATGAAACCCTAATGATAACATTTAGTGAAGAAAACCTTTCAGGGTTTCAGTAATTCATTTACATTAAGTGAACATCACTATCAGTTGCTCTGATACAGGACTTCAAGCAGACAATATAACTAAGATCACTTTGCTTTCATTTACCCTATGAACACTGTGGTGATTGTAATAAATATCTAAAAATACTACATTCCCTCACTCTAGTTCTGTACTGCAAATACTATCAATATGATATCTCCTATAGTAAGTATATGTAATACTACTAGAATGCATATAAAGGAGTATTTTAATTACATCTAAAATAAAATGTTTTCTATGAAAAAATAAAAGCTACCGACTCAAATATGTCCTTGTTTAAATTTCTATTTGCACAGACCAAATGTGTATTCAACTTTACTGGTTATCTATGCTTTTCTTCTTTCGATATTATGCTCACTTTCTTTAAATATTATAACTTTCCAACTGATATTATAACATATTAACTTATGGGAAAAAAAACATTTAAAAATCACTGTACTGATAGATAAAGTCATTAGCATACTAAATTCTGGAATGTGTAACTGACAGAGAGAAGTGTCTGTACTTCAGCACCTCATAAGTAAACCCACTTGTTGAAATGGATTTCAATTAATGTGTAGATTAAGAAAAACATTTAATTTGCATTAATTAGCTCTTAATGGTAATACAAGGCCATGGTTTATTCATTATGATTCATCTTTAAATTTGCATTTTAGTTAGTAATACTATTGTTTAACCTGTATTTATATATAGTTTTCTGCACACTAACTTTATAGAGGTTTAATACTATTTCAAAATGAAAGCTTTCAGCAGTTTGTTTTCATAAGATTTTAATATAGTAGATACAGAAAAAAAAAAATTACTGTGGCTTATGCATTCTTGCAAAGGAATACAACCCCGTGCATTTATTCAGCGAAACTAGGCTTGGACTAGCAATACTGTCAGAGCTATGCACCGTGGCCATTAAATCATCCTTTTGTGCAGTCTGGTATACAATGGTCATGCCTGTAATTATACATTTTCTACAATTAAAAATTACTTTGGGTCTTTGGTAGGGCCACTACCATAGTTTTACAATTTACTTGACAAATCTAGACAATTGCCTTTTACTCATTAAATAATAAAAAATACAGTTTTTAATTTTTTCTCGACTAGAATATATACATATGCCTCACAACTGAAATAAGTTGTCTTTAAACTATAATCGCAGACTGCACATACTTCGGTATTTGGCTAACCAAATACCGCGAAATACACACTACATACCACTTAGCACTTTTAATACTCCATATGCTAGGCTAACCATTTCAAAATTGTTTAAACGGATATCAATATTTCAAATGTATCACAAGTAACTCGTATACTGTAAATGCAATAAGGTCGTTTTGCATGTACCACGAAGACAGAGCCAACATAGGGACCATACATTTTTCTATTCAACCAAAAGCATTGTATTTAATGTCACATTTTCACTGTTTCCACTATTGAATTTCTTCACATTAGATGGGCAAAATCCAGCAGGAAATAACCACATTGCAAATGCAATACCTCTAACACAAAGGCTTCCCTGCATAACAAAAGCTTCTCACCAACTCTCAAAGGTTATCTTGGACATTTCAAGGAAAGGGATATATACATACACTCATTTCACCCTAGCACCTTTAGACCTACCCACTGCCCTCCCCCCTTCCGGGCCAGAGGTAAGCCCCCTAATTAGCGCGGCGGGACCCCTCCCCCTCTCGTCACCACCTCTGTCCTGCATATCCTTCCTTCCTCACTATCCCCAATCACCAGCTTGCTAAGTCCTTCGTGCCCCTGAACCCTTTTCCTCTTCTCTCCCTGCCCCCTCCCGCCCCCGCCCCTGCCCAGGCCTCCCCCCATCAAGGACGGGAACAAAAAGGATTTCGTGACAACATAAACAAACATCCACGTACAGCTACCACCATTCCCGCTGTCCTTCCCTCCCGTATACCGTCTCCTGCGGGGCCGCTGCTATCAGTGGCCATGGTGCATCTCTCTTTCCGAGTCGTGGCGGGCTGGCGGGCGCTAACCTTGTGCGAGAGAGATGACGTTAATCCATAATGGAGGGTGACATCTTGGGGTAAACAGAGCGAGTGTTCGTGGAGGTCATTCCTGCTGCCATCTATCAGGTGAGGATCAAAACAATCGATTCTCGCGTTTTCTTTCTCTCGCCGGGACGTCACAGAAAACGGGAAATTGGAGGGGTAACTACTACCAATAGGCCTAGGGAATAGGGAAGGGAGAGGTAGCGATGTGCGGGGGAGAGGGATATCGCTGGTTTTATATAGCCTGGGTTTTTTAGGTTATGTATTCTCATTGATGACGATTGTGCTTTAGGTTTGTGGTTACAAGATAGGCGCGTTCTGGCGAGCGCAATTGTCTGCATTTTTGAGCGTGTATGCGATAATACCGTGATTGACATTTAATGGTTGAATAAAAACACCAAATATTTAACCATCTTTATTGATTAAACTATTTGTTGGTACGAATCTTCTTCGTTGGGGCCTTGCCCTCACGGAAGCCATTCCTGAGGAAGAAAAAAAGAAGCATGTTACAGCGAGTCCTCGGAACGACTTAGAAACTTCATAAACTAATAAACTTCATAAACAACTATTAACAAACAAGTAATATATGTAAATAGAGTAACCACAACCCAAGCCCGGGAAACGAGCCACGAACACTCACTTGAAGCGCCTGCGTACAACCTTGAGGTAGCGGAGACGGCCGGTGCCGGTCGTCTTCCTGCGGATGGCCTTGATGGACCAATTGTCTGCAAAGAAATGCAATTATCAACAGCGGCCCAATAATATGCGCGTAAGGGTGTAAATAAAGCTGACATTAATGCAACATCTGCCAAAGGCTCCTGCCATCTCGACCACTCAGTAATGAATAACTTATTTGGCGCTGCGATTCCGATGCAGGAAGTTGACGTGGATTTCGCAGACCAATATCAAATGACATGGTTAATCCATACTATACTGTAAAACACGGCAGTCTCCGAGTACCAAACTCGGGTGGCTCATTCATGTTAAAAATACACACTTTATGCAATCGACACCGAGAATTTTTAAACAAATTCTATATCGCATAATACAGGCAATATACACATTTTGCGTAAGTCGGATAGGTTATGGATAAAGGGAGCGAGATGGAGAATAAAGAAATGGAGACAAAGACAAGGAGAAATAAGAGAAGAATAGAGAAATGGAGAATAAATGTCGAATGTGGAGCATAATAGGAAGAATGGAAGGCAAGGAGAGTGGAACCGAGCCTTTGAGAGGAATAGGCGAGGTACATAGCAAGGACGAAAATATCGGCACGGTAGCGGTAAGAGAACAAAGATGTCGAATAAGGGAAGGTGAAAAAGCTGCAGAGTGGGGTAAGGAGGGTTGGGCGAAACGGAAGAGCCAGCGGGGTAGAGAAGACGAAAGTGGAAAAGGACAAAAAAAGGGACAAGAAGGTAAAGAGGGAACAAGGCAGGAAAGGAAGGGGGTATGACGGAATAAAAGGTTAGGATAAAACAAGAGGATTGATAAGTATACCTAATAGAAATGGGATAAGAGTACTGTGGCCGCGGCGCTCGATTCTCAGGCTTAATCGCAACTGACAACACTTGTCATTGTTACCTGTTCATTTTGCGCAATCTCTAGAGATTGAAATAGGACATTGTAGACAGCTGGGCTGCCAGGGTACGACGGCAACCCTCGGACTTGAGCGCCGCGGAAATGGCAGGCAAAGGGAAGAATGCGGGCGGACAAAAAGAGACAAGCTACCGAACCTCGGATGCGCCAAGGGGAAAATATGAGAGGGGGAAGAGAATACAAAACGGAGAGGATAAAATTTGGGTAAGAGGGTAAATGAGAATGATGGAAACCGAGACCCAGCCAAACTTACAGCGCCTAAGCTTCTTCTTGGGGTAGCCGCATTGCGCACACTGCTTCTTCTGAATGTGGTAAGACGACTTCCCACATCGACGGCACAAAGTGTGCGTCTTATTGTTCCGCTTTCCGAAGGACGATGTACCCTTCGTCTGTAGGGAAAGAAAGAAAAGAATTGGTAGCTGCACATTTACAGAGCAAATTTAGAATCACTGTTCAGGGGGAGGGGGGTTAGGATAGTGTGGGGTTAGCTTAGTGTTCTAAAGAAAGTTAAAGCAAAGGCAATTTATTTTCACCATTTAACAAATTTATGATTCTGCTGTCAAAAACCACCCCTACTGCTCAACGGAAGTACAGGTATTATCAGTTAACTTGAAGTGCATTTACATTGTCTAGCGAAGGTAAAATGTGTGCTTTGCCTTAGAATAGATTCATGGAAATTCAGAACAGGATCACAAAAACACTAGTCTCCCCCCCTCCCCCTCAAACAAAGGCTAATAAATATTTCCTATGTACAGTAAGACGGAACTTGGATGGGTTCTTTGTGGCGATCACTGGTCTTAAGCTGGGGATGTAGATTCGCAAACTTTACAAGTTGACTGGCTTTACCCTCCCACTATTTTCAACTAGGAAAATGTAGTTCACTGTAGTTTAAATTAGACTAATGCTATCAATTTCAAAATCAGGACAATTATCAAGGTTCTCAAATAGAACTACTAGCATTAAAAGATGATTTACAAAAATCAAGAAATACAGTAAACAAGCAGGATAGGGAATACTAGTAATGACGAATCCTTAGTGACAGTGTCGAGAATAAAATTAATATATTGGTAATAACATGTGCGTACGTCTCATCCCAAGCTACAAGTTTTCTGGCTATTACCTCTTCGGTCTTACTACACAATTGTTCATAACTTCTACCTTGATGATAATCAAGCTTTCCTAGTTTACGAGAGACAATTTGCTGTACTGTATAACCAAATTCTTCTCTCAGGTGTTGCTGTTCTAGCTGACAAAGTTTAAAGCATTGTATGTAGATGTGACAAGTGCATACAACTTTCATGGTTTATTTAAAAAGTTACATTATATATAAAATTTACCTCATTACCTACCATACTTGGATTAACACCTACATAGTGAACTAACACCAATTCTATATATCCTGAATAGAAACAAATCACAAGTACACTCCCTTTGTTAGAGCACACTGTTTTGCACATTCAATTACAAACAAGAAATCGAAGGTAAAATTTAGTTCCAAACAATCAGAAGAAAGTATATGTATAATTCAATTGCTTCCTTATTTATAAAGGAATATGCAATTGTACACAATGGTCATGTTTTGAGGATGAATGTACTGACAACCCCCATAGTCTTAAATATTTCAATCTGCAGTTCAGTTCAATTCTGCAAAACTACAGTCTTTCACCATGACAAAGGTAAATGTTTACTAATTTTAATAAATTATATAGCCTGGGATCTGTCACATTTGTATCACTTGCCATAGTGGTAACACTGGTACACTATCAAAATTTAGTTAACTATACAGTAATACTAGCTTATACTGTGTGTACCACTGGTCAGATGTGCCATAGTAGCTCAAGCCTTTGAGAATGAAAAGGATTCCATGTCCAATGAAATTGAAATATTAAACTTTTTTCTCATCACTTGGGTATAGGTTTCCGGGAGTGACAATAATAGAGGGAAATGGACAATGCCATCTTATAGAGTAAGAGAAATAGAATAAACAATTTAAGTTGCAACGGCCTCATATCTATCAGCAAGCGACAAAAATGTCAGCTGCATATCACCACTCAGGGGGGGTACAGGGGGGCTTGTCTAGGGAATAAATAGAAGGTAGGAAAGGTAGGTTGGGTGTTTTGAGTCTGGAGGGTGCGTTACTCTTGGTAACAATTACAATTACTTTTATAATCCATTAGTGAACAAAACATTCTGAAATTTGTTTACACTGCATCAATAATAGTCACTAACCTTGTAAGGGCAAGTTATTGAATCTAAACATTTTAAGCATTTACTGTAAGGTGGCATACATGAATGGTAATGTCACAATTGAAAGAATAAGATCACAAAGCATTGCTTAGAGCTTAAATCCATTTGGAGTTCCTATGGTTCAGCTCTATCTTGGTGACCAATCAAGGCAACTTAGAATAAGTGTGGTGAGGAGTCAGTCTCTGGCAAATGCTTGTCTACTGTAAAGAATTACCCTAACCTCTGATAACCATATCCAAAAACATTAAGCGACATCTATGTTAATTGTGTACAACTAGGCGAAGACCTATTTTGTCTGCTCCAAGTATGAAATAAATTGCAAAATCTCACGAATACACATTTCCCTAAGACAGTATAAACGCAAGGCTCAGGAAAAGCCCTGTTTATCTTGATTGCATAGATGACTGATCTTAGTGGCACAAAAACTCCTTGAATGTTAAACAAAGCAAATTACATTCTGCTTGGTTATTTGCAAAGTTGATCTTTAAGGTCAGCATGGGAATATTTGCAAGTGAAATTCTAGGACTTCTTGATAGAAGTTTTGGCTGATGCTATCCTAAACTGCTTTTAAAAGACATTTTATCAGAGGCTTCTCACAGATTCTTATAACATGGTTTTTATTCTGGAAATTCATATATTAGAGTAAATAAAGAAACTTGAATGTATTCTTGGGCACTTCCATCCACACAATTTTATTGCATACTACTTTTGGCATTATGCCAAACAAAAAATTTAAAAATCTGGCAATGATAGGAGACTAAAATAAGACCAAAGTATATAATGAAATGCACAAAGAGCTACAATTTGCAGCCTACTTTAGTGAAGCTATCTCGTAACTGCAAAACTAGTGAAGGGTTAGAATACTTGTGATCTCACGATAACTCAAGATTTGGTTTGGTTAGTACTTACTACCTAAAATAAAGTGAGTGTACACACATGCACGTTTGCCATGTGCCTAACTGCAAGGAATCATATATGGCAGCCGTACGCTTAACACTAGCGAAGTATGAGGCCGAAGCAGTGTATGACTATGCTCAATAAGAAGGAGGAGTTCATTTCCCACTATTTGTGTGTCCCTTTCAGTAACATTTACCTGACAACTATAACGACAAGGACAAAAGGCAAAGCATCATATATCATGAAATGGTAAGGATACATTGGAGCATTTATTTACTTTTAGCCTAATACTCCTGCCAGGATTGCAAACCACATTGACTAGCTAGAAAGCCATAATATATCGTAGCAACATCCAACAGTTCCTGAGTAAGTTATGGAAATAACGCAATTTTTATTTCGGCAACTTATTTCGCCTTGACTAGCAATTTTTGTTCGATAGCAAAATTTAGCGAGTTCTAAGATGCAGACTTGCTTTAGAGAATTGACTAAAATTTCACAAACGGTAAACCTCGTGCTTTATACCGCAGTGTTTTCTAAACAAAACGACCCACAATAAAAATACACGCCTTGAATCCTGGATGCAATCCAATGAAACTGAATTACGATGCTATAGTATCTTCGTCAACTTTACTCTAAAGTCTATGCACTGTCTCGTAAAATATAAGAAATACTTTGTTTACAATTCTGATTTCATAAACTTAGGCCTACTCTTGGAAAAAAAAAAAACCTAACTTTTACACATTTCTGCCGTTTTACTTATTAGATGTAGCTGTAACCTCGCGTATCAAGATAGAAAACGCTAGAGATTTATTCATCCGTTTAAACAATCACCGACAACTTCGCAAATCATTTAAAATCGCGTATTCCCACGGCATCAAAATACACGGCGACCACGTTCTTCCGCTAGAGTTTCGACCATTTCCTCGCTTCTGTACGAGTTTTAAGATGGAATATCCCGAAATTACAGAGACTAACGTAACCTACTCTGCCTGTAATTAATCGTCCCAGGGGTAATTTCGGCTAAATAAGGCCCTTTTCCCCCCCGGTCTCTCCCGCGCCGCCTCCCAACACACCATGTGATCGGCGACAAAACAACCCACGTTTCCTCGACCCGTCACAAGTCTACCTCATTTCTCGCTCATTTCACGACGAAAACGCCGCTTCTCCTTCTCCTCCTTGCCATTCATTCCCCCTGCTTCACAGTCCGAGCCTCGAAAAGCCTTCCAGCTCCTCGCCATGGGGTTAAAATTCACACATAATTCCGGAGACGAAAGGAGCGCTCACTCACCATGTTGTTTCCGCGACCAGAAAGACTGATCCCACAATGCTTTGCGACTTGTGACGTCACCAACGCGCCCTGACGTCACGGAAGGGATACGGCGGAACGCTTGCTTTGAAACGTTAATATTTTATTTCGGGACGTATTGTCTGTTTCTTACTATCTGAAGGTATGTAGATTTTAGTTATATTTATTTGTGGATGTTGGTTTAAGTATTTGATTGGTGTTATGCTTTATTTTGCAAGTAGATAAGGATAATATTTTGTGACGTCACTGATTTATAATGACGTCACTGTGAGAGGCATTCGTATGATTTTTTTGTTTTGCTTTTTCTATCATTTATTGCATTCTTTTACACGGATAATGTCATTTTCTATATCAAAATGTCTCAACAGGCACTAAAAGTTTTCATTCTTCACCTCAATTAGCTTTTATGGCGAGCGATTTTGAAGAGTTTTTAAAAGACGTTCTTGATCTTGATAAAATTTTTGGTAATATAAACTTTTATATTCACAATCCCTTGAAAGGTATGTGAAATAACACATCTTATATGTAAACGATCGATATAGAAATACGTAGATGATTATTCAAAAATATTCTTTTAATATACAAGAACAAAATTCTAAGTTTAATTACTCTACGACCATAACATCAGCCCATAACATTCGTGATCCCTGCAATGTGTTATCTATGGTGCAACAACAGAAGTGTCAACAAAAAAAGACTTTTCTACCCTGCTTTGCCATACCAACAAAATTTAAGATGTCTATAGTCCTCTATAAGAGAGAATCTTGCGTCGACATCATACCAGAAGACGATTATTACACGCAGACAGAGCCAAAATATACAGAGGACAGACCATTCGGTTTTTTCGACTTGCCTGTGAGTATTTCAACAAATTTCGTCCTGTTTTTAGTGTTGGTTAATTCATCAGGTTGGCATGTTGTTTATTTTAATGTCTAAGTTGTATTTGTTCAAAAATCCGTGTATGTTGTATTAATTAGAGTTAAGAATATAAAAAATGAGGTACAAGGTTGGATCAGAACGTAAACAAAGACAATTTCTTTCTTGCTATTAATTTTCTATATTTTTCTCAATAAATGTTCGATATTACTTCGTCGTAAGCAAGTAGCTGACAATCATTAGGGCAGTTTTGCAAACGGAAATTCGACCGATAAAGCTTATCAGTGTTTTTTTTTTGGTTTTGTTTTACTTTGTTTATCGGTTGTCAAGTGTGGTAACCAAGGAACCCCAGAGATTTCCCCTCTTCCCTTGGTATCACTATCATATTAAGGCATTTTAAATGGATTTTTTCTAATATGAATACTGATGTCAGATTGAAATATGGTTTTGTGGACTTTATTGGAGGTGTTGGTAAAATTTATATATATTTTTTAGATTGTGGATTTTATAACCTTTTTTGCCATGACCTGTTTAAAAGGGATAGAAAAGGTAATGGCTATATATGTTGTATATATAAAGCTGATATAAAGTCAAAATTCTTATAGTATATAAAGTGATGAAATAGTGAGAGCTTGCAGAACTGTAGAATTTCATAATTATGTCAGTCAATCTGTCTGCCTATCTTATCTATCTACTTGTCAATCTTTCAGTTTTCACAAGTTTGAATGTTTATAAATGTCTATCTATCTATCCATATTTCTGCAATATGTATCTGTATATCTATGTATCTGTATTTGTCTATATATATCTATATATATTTATTCCTATACTTAAGTATCCATTTATCTATCTATCAGCCTATCAATCTATCAATATATCCTTATCTCTATCTCTCTATCTCTCTCTCTCTCTCCTCTCTCTCTCTCTCTCTCTCTCTTCTCTCTCTCTCTCTCTCTCTCTCTCTCTCTCTCTCTCTCTCTCTCTCTCTCTCTCTCTCTCTCTCTCTCTCTCTCTCTCTCTCGTCTATACCTGTCATCCTATCTGTCTATTTTTTCTCTCTATCTCTATCTCTATTCTCTATCTCTTCTCTATCTCTATCTCTATTCTCTATCTCTATCTCTATCTCTATCTCTATCTCTCTCTCTCTCTCTATCTCTCTCTCTCTCTCTCTCTCTCCTCTCCTCTCTCTCTCTCTCTCCTCTCTCTCTCTCTCTCTCTCTCTCTCTCTCTCTCTTCTCTCTCTCTCTCTCTCTCTCTCTCTCTGTATACCTGTCTGTGTTTACCTATCTGTCTATTTTTCAATGTATCTGGTTATATGTCTAGCAATGTCTATACTTGTCTGTCTATATATCAATCTGCCTTACCATTTTTATATCAGTGAATCCACTTATCTTCTTATCCATATAGGCCTATGTATCTGTCCGTCTGATATATCTATCAGTCATTCTATCTGTCTGTCTTTCTTCTGCCAACATATCTTTGCATCTGTCTATATCTGTGTCTCTGTTCTATCAATCAGTCTTTGTGCCCATCTGTCTGTCAGTCTCTGTGCCTGTCTGTCTGTCAATCTATCTGTCTCTTTGTCTATCTATCTGTCTATCTCTCTATCTTTATGTCTATCTATCTATCTATCTATCTATCTATCTATTTCTGTGTCTAAGTATCTATCTATCTATCTATTCCTGTGTCTGTCTATCTATGTATCTCTGTCTCAGTCTGTGTATCTATCTATCTCTGTGTCTATTTGTCTATCTATCTATCTCTGTGTCTATTTGTCTATCTATCTGTCTCTGTGTCTATTTGTCTATCTATCTATATTTGTCTATCTCTATCAATTTCTGTGGCTGCATGTTTATCAGTCTCTGTCTATCTATCTATCTATCTATCTCTGTCTATCTGTCTATCTATCTATCTCTGTGTGTATTTTTCTATTTATCAATCTCTGTCTATCTATCTATGTCTCTCTCTCTCTCTCTCTATCTATGTCTCTCTCTCTCTCTCTCTCTCTCTCTCTCTCTCTCTCTCTCTCTCTCTCTCTCTCTCTCTCTCTCTCTCTCTCTCTCTCTCTCTCTCTCTCTCTCTCTCTCCTCTCTTCTCTCTCCTCTCCTCTCCCTCCTCTCCCCCTCCCCTCTCCCCCTCTCCCCCTCTCCCCTTCTCCCCCTCCCCCCCCTCCCCCCCCCCCCCCCCCCCCCCCCCCCCTCCCTCTCTCTCTCTCTCTCTCTCTCTCTCTCTCTCTCTCTCTCTCTCCTCTCTCTCTCTCTCTCTCTCTTCTCTCTCTTGTCTATCTATTTCTGTGTCTATCTTTCTATCTGTCCCTATGTCTTTAGTATATCTATCTATCTATCTATTTCTGTGTCAATCAATCTATCTATCTATCTATCTCTGTATCTATCTCTCTATCTATCTCTGTATCTATCTATCTATCTATCTATCTATCTATCTATCTATCTCTCTATCTATCTCTCTATCTGTCCTATCTCTGTATCTATCTATCTATCTATCTATCTATCTATCTATCTATCTATCTCTGTATCTATCTATCTATCTATGTCTGGATCTATCTATCTATCTATCTCTGTGTCTGCCTGTCT